ATTACGAGGGCAATCACCCGATCTCTCACGAACGGTGTGCTCTGAACAGCCTTTTTAACCGAGACAGATTTCACTGATCTGACAATGAAACATATCAAACAGAACTGAATTATTTGTTCAAACTTTTTTCTCAGAATCGGTATCCTAGATATTTTGTACGCCGATGCTTGAGACGACAGGGTTTGAAAGAAAAAGAGAAGGAACTTGATTGTTCCGATCAGGCTCCCAAACCAAAATACTGGCGAACACTTCCGTACATTAAGAATGTGTCCGAAGTAGTTGAAGGATACCTGAGGAAGCACCGAATACATGTGGCGCACAAGCCGACGACTACACTTCGTAACCAGCTCGTACACACTGAGGATAGGGTTGTCTATTTAGATAAGAAGGAAGTCGTCTATAAGATACCATGCAACACTGTGGTCAAACTGGGAAATCGACCTCTACACCAATACACCAACATCAGTAAGCCGTAAAAATGCGAGACCACTTGCTCCAAGTTGCCATGCATACGCTGGAAACTGAACATAAATTCGCCTGGAACAGGACTCGCATTGTTCGTGTTTGCTCATCTAAAAAGGGCCGCGAATTTTTAGAGGCCATTTATTCTGATAAAACATGCATCAATCGACACGTAGAATCAGATGCGGTGTACAACAGCCTCAAGAAAAAGTGGAAAAGGCATTAGCCAACCAGAAGATTACTCTAGAAAGAATGACAGGGCAAAGTAGATTTATCGGCATGTGTAAATGTTAACTGTTTTGCACACTTACGTCACGTCTGAAGACGACTTGGGCAACCAAGGTCAAAAATTTACCATAAAACTTGTTTATCCTTCCAAACTAGTTTATTTCTTTTAAATTATTATTATTGGGATGCCTTTTTTCAAATATATATCCACAGTAGATGTGCTAGCCCATGAAATAATAATTGAAATTCTGAAACGCGTTCTTTATTCGAAAAGATTACTTTAATAGTGTTGTCTTGTTATTATCGTGTCGCACAATGTCAAGATATTCCGGTCGAGTCAGGTGCCTGCTTCCAAACGAGCTCTTTATCGGCTGCCTGCGTAAACTACGTTCCGCGAAAAAAGGCTACTTGAGTGATATGCATTTTGCCAATTTAAGATGTTCTGCGAATTGTTCAACCAGCGAAGGATCAGACCGCCCTTCCAGACAAGCCGGAGATGTACGTCCACAACTGTTCCTCAGTACGAATTGACAAAACACTCAAAGAGGTATTATCTCTGAGTTTTAAGTTTTTGCAATGCACGGCGGATTCCGAAGAAGTTAAATGGAAGTCTACTTCTCGAGTCTATCTATTCAGACTGCCAATCTAAGGCCAAGCTGGCCCAGAGAAGATGGTTATCTTAAGTCTACTTTGGTTAATTGCACTCGACAGCACTTAAGAAAGGCCCCAAGAAATAAAGTCCCCTTGGCAAGGGCCCATCTCGAGAGTCTTAGGAAACTTCACAATAACGGAAGTATTGTGCTAACCAGGACGGATTTGGGTTCGAGAAATTTAATGGTGGATCATAACAAATCTTCGAACTTTGAGAAAGACTAGGACCGCACCGAGGCCGCCGAGGGTCAGTTGACGACGGTTCTCGAAATTCTCCCCAAAGAGGTCGTTTGTTTGACAAAGAATATGAACAACTGAGATCAGCGGGCTTGAAGATACCTAGAATGTACAGTCTCCCAAAAACTCACAAATACGAGCTATACCTACGTCCTGTCTTGGATATGGGGAATTCGTCCTACCACACCATTGCAAAATGGCTGGTCGAAAAACTAAAACCGCAGCAAAGTCAATTGTACCCTCAAAGTTCGAAGGAATCGTTTTACTTTGTCGGGGTTATCAAGAATATTAGCGCTGACGGGTGCAGGGTGACATCACTGGACGTATCATCACTGTTTACCGATGTACCCGTGACAGAAACAATAAATTACCACTGTGACGGTATCCGCGATACAAACTACTCGACAGACACGTTAGTTGAAACGTTAAGAGAGCTACTGACACATTGCACTCAAAATTTCCTGTTTCTCTGCAATGTTCTAGTATGTAGGCAAACATATTCCAAATGTTTGCAAAACTTTTTGTAAATTAATATCATCAAGGGCTTATATATATATATATATATGGGCAGAATAGCATTACCGACAAAGACAACGGAGACTGGAATGGCCATTTCTGGCTTATTAGCCGTCGTCAGCCAGCCATACCCAAGCCCGAAGTGTGGAACACCCGAGCCTCGAACTCGCGACCTGTTGGTTTAGAAGTCAACGCCTCTACTCACCGGGCCACGAGCCCGTTGGAATATGGGCATCCCAAGAAACATAATTCGAAGAAGAATGAGTCCTTTGGGAAAATGAACAAACTTTATTTCGTAAATTTTCGAGTCTGGTTCCCCAGCTCGTCTTCAGACGTGTAATAAGTGTGAAGAAACAGTCGAATTTGTGCTTGGGGAAAGGAGGTTTATTGTGCAAATTGTGGATGCCTACCTTCCAACATCTAAATATGTATATATATAGAAACAATAGGAGATATGTTTCCAGACTTAGGTGGGGCGCGTCAGCTGCGAAGATTTGAAATTGCTGCTTTGAATCTCCATAGCAGACTGTGAACAAGTAATACATTGGTAATAAAAACGTGTCTGTATCAGTACCTTCTATGTTCAAGCAATACGTCAATAATCTCAACCAATCTAAGGGATGCAAGAAGTTCGATTTGTGGAATCCAATTATAATATATTTCTCGCAGGTAAACGTCCTAATGTGATAATTCCACCTTTCCCGTTTCATTTGATGGGTTTGTGCCGCCACTCTTAAAGTACCTGAGGAAAGCCCAGATTTTCCTGACGGACTTCAGTTTCTTTCTGAGATAAACGATGGTTGTTGACATATTTGAGGATTTCATTGGCATAAAACGGTACTGAACATCAGCATCACCACAGGCCAGCGAACAAGGCTACTATGCTCCCACACTGCGGTAAGGAGACTTTCAATGGACTTGAAGCGAAGACTTACTTGTTTAGAACACTGCGAGCTACGCTTGTTCCGATGCTTGTAGCCGCGCCTGTGGTTACCATTGCCGCCCCAACACCAGTAAGAATTAACGATGAACCAAGGGTTATTGGTATCCCAATTAATCCGAGCACCGATAGCACGGTTCCAAACGTTGAGACTGACGTTCCCACAGTGGACGATATCAGACAATCTTTGTGTACTTTCATGAATACAGCACGCTCCTTCACGAGCAATTCGATCAAGTTCCTTGTGCAGGTGGCACAATTTCTAAGAACGATCCTCAATTCCTCTGTAAGCGAAAAAACGTCAATCATCGATGTTATTCTTCAATTCATAGACGCTGTGTGATGCAAAACCCCAATAACAAAAGAAGTGTAAACACTTATTATAATACCTGGGTTACAACTAGTAGGATTTTCAAATTTCACTTACATTTACGCTTAGGTTCGCGGGTCCTGTTCAAAGTCGAGGTTATAGGTGGTTAATTTCACAAATTAGGACTGGCAACCTACGACCTATCATCGTCCACAGGAGAGCAAAGTGATAGCCAAAAATGGATCATATGCAATGAAAACCGAGCAAACGCCGAAAGGGCATCTTTAACAACCTACCCCTGTCAGGAAGATTTCCATTACTTAATCGCAACTTTATTCACCTCGTTGATGAGACGGCGATATTGTTTTACTGTTTGTCGTGGGAACTTGGTTGTCGTCATTTGCTTAGGTACTCACGGGCTTCGAAGTCTAAACCAAGTCCAATGCCTGGGAGCCTACGGCGATCCAGAAACCGTCTCACTATCAATTTTTAACAGCCAATTCTTACACAGATAAGTAAAAAAATTTAGGTGGGCGCAGGTATGGTGACTTGCAAGTGAATTAGCTCGAGATGACAGCAGACATGCACAGCATCTTCCACACTCTCCCACTTCCTAAACACCCTGGAGCCTGCTGTGTCAAGATGGCGTCAAGCGTAAAGTAAATGTGCTTACTCATGAAATGTCAACCAAAATTTCGAAATGCGTTCTCGTTACAAAAAGATAAATTAAGTAGTGTTGCAAAACTAATCATGATACAGCATAAATCTATACTGATCCAGTTACCTCAGGGTGTCGGCTTTCGAAGAAATTTACTTTCGGCTGCATGCAAGATCTATACTCTGCAAAAAATGACTGCTTAAGTGGTATGCAATTTTCTCATTGATTTTTGATGCCCCTGAAAATTCAATTATATTTCATGGAAATTAGGCATAAAAGTATTCATTTTTTACTAATTCGGTAGAAAATCACGTCATCTTCCAACTTCATACTCAAAAGAAGAGTATAATTCGGTTTTAAAAAAGTTTACAATTTTCAGATTTTTTAATACTGTTAAATGGCCGTTCATGAAATATCATGCATCTGCATTTACGAATGTGGCTTGTAAAGTTAAGAATATTGCTCAAATCCCCTGCTTAATTTTATGAACATCATAAGGTCTTCTCTTAACACCATAGAGAAATGCATAGTTTTCCGTACACGGAAAATATACAGCTTGGAGTTTTGAAACCCTGAATGCAAGTGTAAGAGCAGGTCGGGTTTAAAATTGTTCGGGAATTAGAAAAAATTTTTAAAACCGAATTATACTCTTCTTTTGGGTATAAAGTTGGAAGAAGACGTGATTTCCTACCGAATAAGTAAAAAATGAATACTTTTACGCATAATTTCCATGAAATATAAATCAGTTTTCAAGGGCATTGAAAATCAATGAGAAAATTGCATACTTCATATGCAGTCATTTTTGCAGAGTATAGATCTTGCAGGCAGCTGAAAATAAGTTCTTTTGAAAGCCGACAGCCTGTGGTAACTGGATCATTATAGATTTATGCTGCGTCATGATAAGTTTTACAACACTACTTAATTTATCTTTTCAAAACGAGAACGCATTTCGAAATTTTGGTTGACATCTCATGATTAAGCACATCTACTGTACCAAAGGCAAGACTAAGCGCGATGGCTGACAGTGCTGAACTGTCCACCTACGCGTGCCGCACACGCCCTGACCCAAGCAAGGTATACCGGGTTTTATTAAAAAAAACACATGGACGATTCTGATCCCATTTGAGGGATTGTCCAACAGAGGCCACAGTAAGAAAGAACCATCGCAGCCCCACCCTCCGTCCTGAGAGAAGTACCACGTTATCCTATCAAATCAAGTATTTCTGCGTGTTACCAGAGTTAGAGAACGCGTCAGCCTGCATATAGAGAGGCATATGCGCTAGGTGTCGCGGAGAAGCAGTCCCCAGAGTCAACCTCAATCTCTACCCCCCCCTTCCCCCCCAGCTCCCATACCCCAGGCATCAGTTCCACTGCCCAAGCTGTTCAGCTATCCGTTGCGCGGATTGGGCAAATGTGGCTGGCGCGACGTAATCCAAAGACTAGGAGCGTCACCATACCCCTATGTCTCGCATTTTTATGGATGGACAATCCACATAACGCGTGTTATCCCTTTCACGAAATGTTACAGTGCCCGTATTGCGAGCCTGGTCGTAGGGGCCTATTATCATATATTATGATGAATACATGGCAAACTTATCAAACATAAGATTTAAACGATCAAGGTTTGAGTATAAATCTCAACAACAGTAATCTTTCAAGCAGATTTCGCGAATTAAAGGCGCACTATCCAGTAAACTTTCGTAAATGCATAAGTATCCCTCATGAAAGGTCTGTTGATTTCCTTACTTTCTTTCAACATAGCCCCCCTGTCTGCCCTAGCTCTCTCCCTTATGAGAGCTCCGCATTCCTGTCTAGTCCGAAAAGTAGGTAGAGTTCAGTCAACTCTAACCGTACGTTTTTACGTAGTCAGTGTTTTACCGTAGGATCATTAGTGAAACACGAACAAAAATCAGCGCTTTCTACATTTGGCAAAGGTCTTAACACTTACTAAACAAACATTTTTTTCCAAATTAATTTCTACCATATAAAAATAAACCGCATCATGCAATTTCCACTTCAACGAAAATCGGCGACAGCATGTAGCAAAAGCGTCCAAAGACTGCCCAAGCAGGTTGGCCAATAAAACTACTTAAAATGTGGCTTTGCGGATAGACCTGAAGCCATAGATAAGTAAAAAATACAGAGAGACAGCTCATGGGCTTCTTTTTACCATCCAACTGAATAACGATAAATGTCGTTTCTAAACTAGCAAACTGTTCCAAACAAACTTACCAAGGTCACCATCCTCATCATCAGGTTCACTGGGTGTTTGTTCCCCCGGAGATGTTTCGATCTCATGCGCATTAGCAGCGAAATCCGGCATATTATCTTCATGGCTGCCGTTATTTGCAGTGCCTGCAGGTTGCAGAACCGGAGGCTCTGCTACCCCTATTTCAACTTCAACCACATTTGAGTTGGCCTCAGGAATTTTCGATTCTTCACCTCGGTCGGGCAAGAATTCTAGGTCGTCGGGCTGGTTGTTCGGCGTCTGTATTGGTTTCGTTTCCGTTGCAGGCGCGTCCTGCCCAGGGTCACGTGAAAAAGCAGATGAGGCAGCGGCTTCGTGACCGGGTTCTCTACCCTCCACGAACATGGTTAATCCAACTGTCAAATGTAAGAATAAAAGCAAATTAACAGTGGTTTATACGGCGCGTCTGCAAAATTAGAAGGACATATGTCTTTCTGCTTCAGGCAATATCCTAAACAATATTGCGCTTCGTCGGGATGCGTCCCAGGCTGAGTAGTCTCAACAACCAACTTCTTCCAAGAATTTTTCTGAATTGTTTTCAGTGCTCTTCAAACAACTTCGAGTCCTATCAGGTGATGGGGTCAACAATGCTTTTCAGATAGATGATAGTAGAGTGCTTTCAGCCTTACGTTAGCAGAGAACGGTGGCCATCTTACCCATTTATGACTAACGTGGCCCCAGTGGGCACCAACTGCCTTACGAGCGAGATTGAAGAACCAAAATTGCCACGACCACCAAAAATGCTATTGCTTTCAGAGTACGGTGTTATACTCTTGCCTACTAACAAACGTCAGTCTAACTGCACTTCAAGAAAACGTCAGATAGTCACCAACTTCCCACCGATCCACCGTAAAACGCATGCTCCAGAACTGGACAATTTATTCCACTGTAGCCTTAGTGAAAAACCAACCACCAGGGCTAGCAATTCCTCCGGATACGAGTCATTGGAAAGCAAACTGATACGTCTAAATACAGAACCACTCCACGAGAACTTCCTATAGTCACCGTTTAGGCACCTAAAAACTTGACATTAGTAGGTCTAGCGGGTTTCTGTAGGTTCGCTCAAATTTCACCAGAACATCTGGCCTCATGGATTAACAGCATCATGCAATTTTCGATTTAACGATGGTAGGCGACAACATGTAGCAAAAGCGTCCAAAGACTGCCCAAGCAAGTTGGCCAGCAGAACTACTTAAAATGTGGTTTTGCGGATAGATCTGGAGTCATAGATAAGCAGAAAATACTGTAAGACAACTCATGAGTTTCTTTTTACCATCCAACTGAATAACGAAAAATGTTGTTTCTAAACCGGCAAACTGTTCCAAACAAACTTACCCAGGTCATCACCCCCATCATCACGTTCACCTGGTGTTTGTCCCTCCGGAAATGGTTCCTCCACATTTTCAGCGGAATCCGGCATATTCTCTTCATGATTCACGTCATTGGTAGTGTATGGAGGTGGCGGAACCGGAGGCTCTGTTGTCCCTATTTCAACGTCACCATCATTGCAGTTGGCCTCAAGAATATTCGGTTCATTTGCCTTGTCAGCATTGGCTCCACAGGGTAGGAACTCCAGATCCTTCTGCAGTCTATCCGGATTTCGCATTGTCTCCGTTTACCTGTCTGGTCCAGGGTCAGTTACCACCTCGGGAATGTTCGCTTTGCCTTCAGTTTAAAAGGTTTTTTACCGTTAGCTGTGACGCTGTGTTTTCCGATGAGGATTTTGTCGTTTTGGTCACAATAGATGCTGGCTCTTTTTGCGAATCAACTCTTTAATCCGGTGGTGCAACACCCCCGGGGATAATCTAACTGTCAAATATAAGAATAACAGCACATTTACTGTGGTTTACATAGCGCGTCTACAAAAGTAAAATATCATTCTTCTTTTTTCTTCACGTAATATCCTTAGCATCAGTGCGCTTCGTTGAGATTCGCCCTAGGATTATTTGTTCCATCAACCACCTTTTAAGCATTTGTTTGAATTAACTTTAGTACTCTTCGAACAACGTTTTGTCTTTTCGGGCGATAGGGACAGCAACGCTCTTTGGATGATTGACGGTGGCGTGTGTTTGACCTTACGTTCGAAGCAAACGGTAGTCTTCTTACTCACTAGTGACGACGGCGGCCCCAGTCCAGACCAACTTCTTTATGAGCGAGATTGAAGAATCAACACGGTTCGCTGCTATCCATGATTTAGTGCCATTGCTTTCAGAGTCAGGTGTTATAATATGGCCGACCAGCAAGTGTTTATCCATCTGAACTTCCCCAAAAACTCAAATACAGTGACCAATCTCTCTCCAAACGGCTGTAAATTGCAAGTTCCTGAATACGGCATATCACTACGTTGTGGCCTTCAGCTAAACGCCAACTGTTATAGTGCAGTATGCAGCAGCCTTTCCGGAAATGAATCCTAAGAAGAAATTCGCCCTTATGTGATTGGAAAACGGACACGCCTGATGAAGGAACCTTTCTACGAATACTTTCTGAAGTCGTCGCTTAGACGACAAAAACCTGATTCACTACGCCTAGCAGTACTCTGTAGGCTCGTTCGACCTCAATCCTTACACCTGACCTCACATATCAACAGGCATTTCCGCCGACGCTACTCAATCAGTTCGAGTAAATGATCATCTGTCGCATTGTCTGAGACTCCGAGAGCAGTTATTGGCGCATTCCGTGGTGGCAGTTATTTTGTGGTTTGATGACTCCAACTACTTAACGAACGTGTATGGACAGTCAGATGTTGTGCGTTAAGTAGTTGGTCAACCAGCCACTTCGCTGCAACGCTATCTTCCCTCGGCTGCTGCCTCGCTTAGACTTTGGAAATAATAGTGTTATTGGATTGAGTTTCCAGGAAGGGAGTTCGGACTACGGCTTGTAATTATGGTTTGCCTTGCAGCTTATATTAAGAGTTGTGGTTACGGCTGGCTACTGTTACAAATCGGGATTGGCAACACGTAAGCGTCTTAACTGAAGGCATCGTTGACGATCTACCATCGGACCATTGATGCCCGAGTGAACGGAGGCAGAAAGGCCACGTTTTGGCCAACAAATGGACCACATTCAACGAAAATCGATCGGCCGCCTAAAATGCACCTTGCCCAACCCAGCCCTGTCAGGAAGGTTTCCGTTACTTGCTGCGCTGGCTTATCTGCTTGAGTAGGTAGGATTTCTCGTTTCTTAGGAAGACAGTGATATTTGCATTCTGCTTAAATAGGGTTTGGTCGTCATGCAGTTTGCTTTACTTTTCGGAGTCAATGTCGCACCAATGACGACTGCAAAAGCGTATCAGCCAGCCATCTTCACCACTAAGGATCTGTCTGACTAACTTGTTTTTACGCCAACAGGTACAGGTTCACGTGGCTGCCGGACAATACATGAGTCGTGCCCGTAAAACACGTATACAGACTGGTCCGCACAGTTCACTAATCGAATCAAAAAATAATTCCTTGAGAGCAGAATTTCGTCGCCAAATTAAGGCCTCCAAAACGCAGAAAACGCTATACATCTGATAAGCAAATCTGAGAGATCCGGGTTGATTATTTAAGGAAGAAGAAGATGATGATGAAGAAGAAGAAGAAGAAGAAGATGAAGAAGAAGATAAGAAGAAGAAGAAGAAGAAGAAGAAGAAGAAGAAGAAGACGAAGAAGAAAAAGGAGAAGAAGAAGAAGAAGAAGAAGAAGAAGAAGAAGAAGAAGAAGAAGAAGAAGATATGCATACCACTTTTAATTAAATTTATGATCGATTAAGTGCATTTTACGCTTTGACAATAGAGAGATGAGTAAGTTCTTTGCAACGTCAGTATTTAAATAAGCCTGTTCCGGAGATCCTGTTTTTTTCTTCAAACACTTTACATCATTTGGAGCGTTGCCAGCCATTCCGTAACTCCCTGGCTCCTGCTTAAGGCGATGACAGTCTTGGTGTTTGGTGGTTTGTCATCCCAGCAGTCATCCTGGAATTTGACAGACACCGCGTTGCTTGCGAAGTAATCTGACTTATCTTAACCCAACATATGACTCCTTGATTTTTCGGATTGTCACGCGAGACGAATCCACCGCTTTTAGCCCTACGTAATAAAACGCCTTGATCTTCGATTTTCAGTAAGTTCGCTGCCATCACCAGCCCCCTCTGGCCCCCTCACAGCCCTGCCTCATGAGGGAACTATGGCGGGGGCAGAGGGGCTATGAAGGGGCTGGAGAGGAGGATATGGCGGGGTAAATCCCCGATGTGGCTCAATCATCGAAAAAATGCGCAGGGGGACACCTTATAATTGTCGTTTTTTGCCCCCACCCCTGACCATATCGGACTGTCTGACAGTACTGAGGATCCCTAAACTTCTTATTAATCGCGTTATAATCCTGATTCCCCCTTTCCTAGATTTCGTCGTTAACACTCACTTTACAGTCGATCTCTACACTAGAATATGCGCTAGATAAAAGCCGGGAGTAGCATATGGTGTTTCCTAGGTAAGTCGTTATAACGACTGTCGTTTTTGCGGGAAGCAAATGCAGTCCCACCAGCTTCTGTTTCATTTACCATAATTCACTAAGTTCAAGTTATTAAACTCGGCAGCCTTGGCGGACATAAGAACGCAAACAATTACTCGCATTACTAATTAATCAGTTAATAACTAGGAAGTGGTTCTAGTTCCAATTAATTGAAACTAAAAAAAACAGTTTTGACAAAAAAGGATTAGCTCGAGCACGAAGAGAAATGTGGAAATGACAAACGCAAGATTCTGTACAGACTCACTAGAAGTAAAGTGCTCTCCGGTACCAAGTCGTGATATATATTATAATGTGCGGGAGTTATATATGTATAGACGATGTAAATCAGAAGACCACCAGCTAATTCCTGTTAATAACGATTGATGGTCAAAAAAATTCACGTCCTACAAGATGCGTATAGGGAACAAATGCGAATAAAAAAACGATTTCGAGATACAGAGGCAGTACACCTACTACCAAGCAGCTGAAAAATCTGAACACGCGCTAGTGTATTCTTAGCTGATTGTTGTGTGTCTTTTAGCACATTTAAACTTAAAGGTTGTGAAAGAAAGCTCTTTTAGAAAAAGGGAACGCATGCATTCAAAATGTACGCGGACATATACAACTCTCACATCAGGGTTCCTATATTTCAAAAAGAACGTTTACAGAAAAAACTGTCGAAAATTGAATTACAAAATTTCCGAGTTTGTCTGGAAAGTGGATGCGTCAACCACAACGAAATGAGGCGCGTCGTGCTTGGTAAGGGTCATCGTTGTGGGAAGGTTGAGAGACAGTGTATGGTGGTTATACAAAAGGTACTGAAATCGATAGATCGTGTGGTCGCGATGTGAAATGGCGCTTTCTTGTTCAAGCCCTTTCTTAAAGATTTGACCATTCTGATTCGGAATATACAGGTGCGGGTCAACGTCATTCCCTAAAATATAACCTTCACCCTCCGAGGCGCAAATTTAACAAATCTTTTATCCTGCCAATCTCATAACCCAGAGTTTGGCGTCGTCAATGAGGCCACTTTAATAACAGACACATACAATTGTTCCGTCTCTCCTGCGCATACTGTTTATCCTGTCATCGAAAGTAAAATCAACCCCATTTTGTGGAGGAAGACACACATTCTGCCTGTTCGCAAGCACGGCTGATGTACATCATCAGACAACCTTCAGAAAACAACTAGCTTCGTAGCAATTTCGGAAATCTTGGAGACATTGATCAAAGGTCATTTAATGTGTCACCTAAAAGAGAATAACATACTTAGCGCTGCTCAGCATGGATTTTCCAAAGCTCGGTCTTGTAAGGCCCACCCGCCCTATTTTTCGATCATGTTTTACAATTTAGGATAGTATTTTTGCCCTTTGCACAGTCTATTTCGTCTTCACTAAGGCTTTTGCTCGTTTTGATCGTGCTCTCCTTCTATTGAGAATGTCCTCCTTCGTAATAGACTTTAAACTTCTGAATTTGACATTTTCTTACGCTATTGCTCGAACACATCTGAGTAGGATTTCCAAGTATATCTCCAGACCCACATGTGTGAGTACTGGATTCATTTAACGTCGTACATTTTGCCCTCTCGAATTTTATCTTTTGCTCAGTGGTGCACCAGGCTTAGTTTATAATTGCATGCCGATTATTTGAAATTTGCATATCGACATAAGCTGGCGGCTCGCGACATTATGCTCGAACTCCTAAAGAGCGACCTGCGCGCCTTTTCCCGGTGGCACTGCGCATGGCGCCTTTCTCTTTCGTGGCATACATGCTCAGTTATGGTGGTTGGCGACGACCACTAACCTCAGATATGAATCGACGTTAACGACATAAATGCGCCTGAAGTTATCGAGGGGCAGGGTGTATCATGCTTCAAGAGTCTTAATCCTTCAAAATACTGTGCTCGGATTTTCATCATAGCACACTGAACGGCCGAACTTGCCCTCCGAAAATTTGAAATTAGTGATTTCAGAATGCGCATTTACAAAATGCACGTTAGTCGTGCCCTTAATTACTGCTGGTTTTTACTTAGCCTCCTGCGTCTTTCTGAGCTTAGGAAAATAGAATCATCCAAACATTTTTGGCAAAGGAGTTTTAACCAATGAACGCCGAAATTTTACGTACCAATAATGCTGTGGGTATAGAAGTCTTGAACCGTTGTCACTTCAACGATTACTGTCTGTGTTGTTAGACATTCCTACTTTTAGTCCACCTACTACTTTGAAGCATTCTGACCACTCTAAATGCAATGGTAAGCGCGGGACACCTCAGTTCTTAATCTTGCACGTACTGCTAAGTATCATCAGTTCTTTTCTCCAAATAAAATTATCATCTGGAATTATTTACGCTCAAACGGAAAGATTCTGAATACTTACCACATATATAGTACTTATCAATGTTAATGTCAGATCTCAACTACACCTCTCCCGGTGCACGCCTCCTTTTTTAATGTATTACTCATTTTCCGAATTAAGAAAAAACCGCAGGGCTTGCTTCATGAAAATGGTATTCTAACAGGTTCATTACAAAGAAAGTTGCTGAACGATCCGCAAAACCCACCACATTGACCGCCAAATGGGAAAACTTTGTTCCTCGAAGTTCCTTTCCAAGAAGACGCTGCGAGTGAACTCCTAAGAAAACGCCTTTATCAAGTTGTCTCGAGAACCTTCCCAGCAGCAAAGGTTCGCAAGTTAATTTCCCGTATTGATGGAGTTAGTGGTCTGCGATCCCTCAGGCCGTTCACGTCTCGGGCAAATTGACTCTGGCTCTCCCGCCAACAACACTACAATCATGTCTTCATCAGACAGCAAGTAACTGTTCTCCCATGTTACCTGTTTGTCGCACGTGTCTCAATTCTATGAATAGGTGTAGTGACTGAAACAGTCGGAGCACTGTTGGCTATTCTCCTTCTGAACCGATGCCATTTCCTGAGCTGTAGTTTTTTCATCCTGGACCATCTAAAATATCCAAAAACGTTTCAACCTATACATAATTTCTCGGGAGTTTTTATACACTTAGCCCGACCCGCACTGTTTCACATTTTGGCCGTGACTATAAATTAACAGTCAACACGACTGTCACTACCACTACTACTACAAAAAATCTGGTGGAAAAAAGAGAACGAAGGGGATTCCAGATAGGCTGGCTTGTGTTCATCAATTCAGATGCTATTAAACATATCTGAGGGAGGCCTTTGTATAGGCAATCTTAAACGGCATACAGAGACTTACGTACCGAGTCGTGGGGGAAGAAAGCGAAAGCAGCACACATGCGTTTGGGCGTTGGCCACAAGGTGTACGCAAGTCAATATAAATTACTGTAAATGCGGAATATAAACGCAGCCTTAGAAAACCTTTCTAACATCTAAACGAATGAAAAACGCACACACACATACAAAACAAATATTTCAGTCATTGCTAGCCGGTAAATGTTATATCACGTATTATAGATTTTTAAAGTCTCCTTTTAAATTTTTCAATGCTTTCTGCTAAGCTAGCCAATTTTGGCAGTTTGTACCATCCATTAATCGCTCTGTTTGAGAAGCGGCTGACTCGTACATTACGCCGGCATAGTCCATCTTCAATTTGTGACCTCGAAGAATGGTTGCTCCTACCACCTTAATGAGGTTACCCGAATGGACTGTGCAGTATTTCCCACTGAAGATTCTATAAGCCATGACGACATTCCCTCTACACAGATCTTATGAGAAAATAAAATTACACAGCCCTTCTAGTCGTATTGGCTAGCATCAAATTTTTATGCATTGCTAGTTTATTCCTTCTTCGTCAAAACGTCTCCAAATGGGTTTTAGCTTGGTACGTTAAGGGATGTTAAAACTGAACACAGTATTCTTGCTTTGAGCGAACAGAATTTCCAAACGCTCGACTGATAATCTCTTGATTAAAATTAATGGCCGATCTCCTAATGGCATCTACGATACCCATTGCATTACTTGGCATCTTGAGGCAGCGGGACGAAAGTTACAGAATTGACAGGCGTGCAGTCAAGCTTAAAATTGTGCGGGGCTCGCTAATCTATGAAATATTAACATCTAACCACGATAATCTTCCTTTGATTCACAGACGGCAACGAGGCGACCTAATCTAAAACTTTCGTGTAATGCTCGACCGGGATTCCTGTTTTGTATCTACAAACTTCTTTGAGTTCACAAACACAACGGAAGTGAGAGCGCATTTACCCAATTTAACCACAAAACCTTCCTGTGCAGATGAACTTTTCTGTATTGTTGCTTAAATATCCTAAAATACATACACCTAGTTTCTGATTACGTAAACACATAAAATTGAAAACAAGACTGGGAGAATGACAAAGACCTCACAGTTTATATCTCGTTTTCAGTAAAGAACAAGGAGTTATAAGTTAGATAGATAGATGGATAGATAATTTTTATTAAAGACCCGTCGGAGTCCCATCAAAGCAAGTAAAAATAAATTAACATGCGAGTTTTAGACGAGGTAGGCCGAATCTTTACAAAATGCAATTCATAGTTTCTGAATTAGAAGTCCATTGAGAAACATGATGATTGAGGGGTGAAAAAAATCTCTATACAAAAAGTTAAAAATGATTCGATTAATTTTGCAGGAGAAAAAAATGTTTCAATAAAAATAATAACAGAAAAAGCGAACAAGACTGGCCTGTAGGTGGCGGTATATAACGGAGTGTTGTCGGTCATCGTCAGGATAGCAATAAATGTCAACATTGAGGGGTACTTATGTGGGTCAGACAGGACTGGCCTATATGTGGTATTTTATACGGGATTCACAATTGACATCGTCTGGGCCGGATTGATACGCCGCATGAGACTATTCGCGTTCAAGAGGCCATAGGAGAGGAATCCAGATGCGATCGACCACAGCACGCTTCGAGCTCAGCTGAGCAGTGGGGAAGGGAGGTACGACCAAACTACTAGTAGACGGCGAATACTGAGGGTTCCGCCGGGGGCGTCGACAGACCGCATCAGGTCAGAATGCGGGAGATGACATCAAAAACCTCGAAAATTGTCGCTATGGGGGAGGAGTGATAGCAGTGGATTTAAAAACCTATTGAAACAGGGGTTTCTAATGATATAATAGAGGGTTACCACTTGATCTACCACTTAATCCCAGGAGAACCATTCTCGAAGTCAAGAAGCTGAGTGTTCGGGAATGAGACCGTTAACAGTGCCTTTATGCTTTCCGGTGTAAGATGGTTGCGTAATTTCGACTTGAATACCAGTAACTTAGGCGATACTCTAATTTCAAGCGGTAGATTATTCCAAAGGAAGGAATATTTGGAAGCAAAGAAGAGGGGAAACTAATATGTAGTACAAAGAGGCGGCGGAATCACCACGCAGGAGGTGCGCGTGGCATAAGACCAATCTCTCGGAGTAAGAGTGTCAATGAGCGGAGGACTTGAGCTAGAGTTGATGCGAAAAAGGAAACAAAGGCCAGTTTCGAGTCTTATAACCCACAAAAACTTAATGTAAGCCAGCTGCCATCTCTGAGTATAAGAAATACCGGGCAAGGCTTGAGAGAACAGTTTCCAGGTGAAAACCCTATGAAAATTTACGACCTTATAGCGGTCACGGGCGTTCATTAAAGCGAAGAATGGACAGCAGTATTCGATGACTGGAAGAAGAAACATTTAATAAAGTCTTAGCTTCATTTCCGGAATGAAAAAATTATGCGATATGAATCCACACACCTGCGCGGCTTTGGCAGAGATTCTCTCTGCATGAGGTGATAAAGCAAGTTTATTTGTATAACTTAGACCTAGGCCCTTTATGGTGAGGCATTCTGAGAGTGGGTTATTCTGAAAAAATTATGGAACCAGGATGTTTGGCATGACCAAAAGACATGAAACTACACTTGGATGATGAAAACACCATCTGCCATGTCGAACCCCATCTGCTTAAGCGTAGTAAATCGGCATCAATTATTCCAACACAAACATTTGCGGTGTCCTTAGAGTATGAGTAAACACACTTGATGTCATCGGCATAAGTAAACGTTTGCGAATTTCCGAGTTCAGCCGAAATATCATTGATGTACAGAAGGAAGAGTAGCGGACCCAGAGCCGTCCCTTGAAATACGCCACACGTGATCGAGTGAGGTGTGGAGGAGTTATTACCGACCATGAATTTCTGATATCGGTTGGACAGATAGGACCTGATGAAGTCGAGTAGAGATGGCCGGATTCCGAGAGCTTCCAATTTTACTAAAAGACGTCTATGGGGCACCTTGTCAAAGGCTTTGCTAAGATCAAAGTAACTAACTACCACTTACTGCCGCTCATTACGAAGAGAAGTGATTAGATTAATAAAGCCAAGTGACATGTTTCGCAGGATCGTTTAGGTAAAAATCCATGCTGACTAGAGCTCAGAAGCCGATTAGCTAGACAGAAGTCAAGAATTTCATTGAAAATAATCCTTTCAAGAAGCTTTGGTAGAGACAGCGTTTCGTGCACGCCCCGATAGTTATTAAGATCGGACCGACATCCAGACATAAGACGGGAACGATAATGCACGTTTTCCATGTTTCAGGAAAGAATCCTTTTGATGTATAAACCGAGAATGAATGACTAAGCAATATGGGAAGGTCGAACGCTGGTTTAATAATCGAATTCGGAATTTCGTCCGTTCCTGAGCAATGTGAGATTCTCGAACGACTTATGTGTTTCTTAATGAGATCTGATAGATAATTTTTATTACAGACCCGTCGGGGTCCAATCAAAGCAAGTTAAAATAAATTAACATGTGAGTTTTAGACGAGGTAGGCCGAAACTTTACAAAATGCAATTCATAGTTTCTGAATTAGAAGTCCATTGAGAAACATGATGATTGAGGGGTGAAAGAAATCCCCTTACAAAAAGTTAACAATGATTGGATTAATTTTACAGGAGAAAAAAACCCCTCCATAAAAATAATAACAGAAAAAGCGAGCAGGACTGGCCTGTAGATGGCGGTATAGAACGGGATGTTGTCGGTCATCGTCAGGGTAGCAATAAATGTCAGCCTTGATGGGTACGAATGTCGGTCAGACAGGACTGGCTTGCAAATGGCATTGTATACGGGATTCACAATTGACATCGTCTGGGCCGGATTGATACGCCGCATCAAAGAGGCCAGACGAGAGGAACCGAGATGTGATCGGCCACAGCACGCTTCGAGCTCAGCCGAGCAGTGAGGAGACATCAATTGTACTCAGTGTCCTATCTGAATAAGATCGAAAGAAAGGGACCGGATCGGACTCGGTAGCAAGGTGTTTTGCAAAGAAAGCATGAACAACTCCGTCTTGTCAGTGTCATCGGTGAGGAAGACTTTGTTATCATTTAGCAGGGATGGAAGTTCATGACCACGCTTAGAGGATGACCGATGACGGAAGATGTTAGCGACGGATTTGCCAGGGTTCGAACCACTGAGAGCAATTGATTATCTTTGCCAATCGCGCGGTTGGCGCATCCTTGAGGCCATCTCAAAAATCTCTGTGATTCTACGATAAACTGATAAGGAACTAGTGGATGGGTAACGAGGCTGTCGCCTCAACGTTTTTTAGTCTGTTCTGAAGAAAATGAGGAACAAGAGAATCTGAAGAATTAGGCTTGAGATATCTACGCGGCACAAACTCTAGAATGTCCTTGGAAACATTGGACATGACATCACGAAGAATGATTGCATCGCTACAGGAGAGGAACCACACAAATCCAAAGATCTAATATAGTTATTTATTAAGACGTTATCTACGCAGTCGTCGCTCATGTAAGTCCGAAGGCCGCTGGACTTTTTTGAAAAGGCAAGCGGTAAGCAACAATAAATTAATACGTGGTCACTGTCAAAGAGGTCCTTTTTTAAAGCAACAGAAAGAGGAGCAATGTCATTGATAAAGATTAGATCTAAAATGTGACTATCTCTTTTTGGAGAGCGCACCAGTTGGGACCAATTAGAAAAATTGATAATATCTTGAAAGGGCTGGAATCTGGGTGGACAGCTATTGGCAACCCCGTCTATTTCAAGAAGATTAAAATCCCCAGTTACTATTTTAACATCGAAAGAGACTTCCGAAATTAATTTAAAGATTTCACAGAGTTGAGAATCATCACTGGCTAAATAATTTGGGGGATTGTAGATACAGCCAATAATTGCCTTTCTTTGCGGTGAGAGAATAACAGATGCAAAGCAGAAGTTTCCCGTGAATGAGGAAACATCCAAATAATAGAGAGAGTGTTTTAGGTAGGATCTTATATAGAGAAGACAACCACCCCAACTCCTAGTC